TTAGTTAAACACACTTACCATATGAACTAGCAATCCTAGTCCTAGGTTTTTACCCAACTGAAATGAAAACTTACGTCCCAACAAAAAGTCTGTAAGTGAATGTTGCCAGCACATTTGTTCATATTAGCCCCAAAGAGGAAACCATCCAAATGTCCGTTAGCTGGTGACCAAATGAACAAATTATAGCTCTTCCTTACATTGGGATACTATCCAGCATAAAGAGGAATGAACTCTTGATATATACAGCAACAGGGAGGAATCTCAAATTCATTACGCTAACTGAAAGAAGCGAGACTCAACGGTTGCATTCTATGTAATTCCACTTATATGACACTCTGGAAAATGCAAAACTCTGACGGGTAGAAAAAAAAGATCTGTGGTTGCTCGGAGTTGGGTTGACTAAAAAGAAACACAAAGGAATTTCTGGAGGGTGACAGGACAATCCTATATTGATTGTGGTCTTGGTTACATGAGTGTATCTATCGATTTGTCAAAACTCATAGAACTGTAGCCCTAAAGAGAGTATTTTTATTGTATGTAAATTTTGCCTCGATAAATTCAGGGATAACTGGAAGATAAATGAGAGTCTGCGATAGGTACATTCTTTCCTTGTATACTTAAAAATACAAATGAAAGCCAACCAGCTCACTACTCTTATGGCAGAGACAAGTTAACTTCACTGCCAGCTTAAGATCAGGTAAAGGGTACGGTGTTACCATGGATACAAACTATTATTTCCTTTCGTGTGAAGTCTCTAATATTAAATCGTGACTCACACGTAATGTAGGGGTAGACTCAGAAACAACCAAAGTCACCCAAGGGTTTTCAGCCTTAGGACCCCTGCCCATGATGTTTTCTTCATGAACGTAAGAGAAACTATAATGTCGGTGAAAATATCTTTTTTTTTTTTTTTAATTTTTTTTTAACGTTTTTATTTATTTTTGGGACAGAGAGAGACAGAGCATGAACGAGGGAGGGGCAGAGAGAGAGGGAGACACAGAATCGGAAACAGGCTCCAGGCTCTGAGCCATCAGCCCAGAGCCTGACGCAGGGCTCGAACTCCCGGACCGCGAGATCGTGACCTGGCTGAAGTCGGATGCTTAACCGACTGCGCCACCCAGGCGCCCCGGTGAAAATATCTTTAAGGGATTAAAAGAAGAAAGGGTAAAACTGCTTCGCTAAACTTGAGGGCATTTCTAAAAATGGTATGCTAGGTCTGAGGCTGTTAAGACTTTATTTTCTTCTGTTTGTTACAGAAATAATTTCCCGTAGATCAACCGCTAACACAACGGCATGTGAGAGGCTAACCTCTCCTTTAGCTGTTGACTTGCCCGTGAGATCATGATTTTCTAATTAATAAAGTGGAGAGGGGGCAAACTGAGTAAATTTTAAAATCAGCAGAATTCTTTGTGGTAGAGTTCAAATTAGCAAGTTGTGGTAACTTATGCAAAATGATATTAAGGTAGAGGTTGACTCTTAAAGAGCACACATATTTTGGAACTCTGTATTAAAGACGTGTTGCCACAGAGACTGCCACACATCTACCTAATAACCACTGAAAATTAAAGTCATAGCCACTGCCACTGAGTGAGCGCTTCCCATGTGCTAGGAAGAGCTATGAATACTTGTAGGATATCAGCTCCCACCGTCTGCCTTGCTATTTATGGTCCAAGAATCCCGAATGATCCAGAGTTCCCCACAGGTTCCATGGTAGTTCTTGTCCCTGTACTCTTGTCCATTACTCTTACATTCAACAAATACATATTTATCTAGGGGCGCCGGGGTGGCTCAGTTGGTTAAGCACCTGACTCGATCTCAGCTCAGGTCTTGATCTCAGGGTCATGAGTTCAAGCCCCACGCTGGGCTCCGCCTGGGTGTGAAGCCTACTTAAAATATATATATATGTACATATATATATGTACATATATATACACACATGTATACATATATACGTACGTATATATATATATATCTATACATGGGTATATATATATGTATGTATATGTGTGTGTGTGTATATATATATATATATATATATATATATATATATAATATAGCTACCATGTGTCTATTAATGATTGAATTGTTTCCATTCAAAATTTATATGTTGAAATCTTAGCCCCCTGTACCTCAGAAAATGGTATTTGGAAACAGAGTCATTAGAGGTATGATTCGGTAAGATGAGGTCATAGTGGAATAGCATGGGCCCCTCAGTCCTATACAAATTGTATCATTATCAAAAGCAGAAATTTGGACACTGATACACACAGGGAGGATGCTATGTGAAGATGAAGGCAGAGATTAGGGTGATGCTTCTACAAGGCATGGAACACCAAGGATTCTAGGGAAACCACCAGAAGTTTGGGGAAGTTCTGGAATAGGTTCTCCCTCACAGCCCTCAGAAGGAACCTCTCCTGCTGACACCTTGATCTTGCACTTCTAACCTCTAGAACCATGAGACAATACATTTCTGCTATTTGGGGCACCTGGGTGGCTCAGTCGGTTAAGCATCCAACTCCTGGGCTCAGCCTAGATCGTGTTCTCTCGTTCGCGAGTTCAAGCCCCACGTTGGGTTTGGTGCTGACAGTACAAAGCCTGCTTGGGATTCTCTCTCTCTCTCTCTCTTCCCCTTCCCCACTTGTTCTCTCTCTCTCTCTCAATAAACATTAAAAAATTAAAAAAAAATTTCTATTTAAAGCAAATCGTACCAAAACCAAAACCAAATCCCACAAAACAAAACTATATTAAAGTACATTTCCTACTGACAAGGAAATTCTGCAAATGTGTGAGAAGCCACAATAACCAAACACCTCTCTCAAGGGGCTGCAGCTTCGCAGTCCCTGATGCTGACTCCCGGGCATCCTTCTCCCCGACGGCCGAGCTCACCCTTACCTCCTCAGATTTCCTTCATATTTGAATCTCTGATTGCCTTAACCATTCCATCAACTTAAAAAAAAAATTTAATGTTTATTTATTTTTGAGAGACAGAGCATGAGTGGGAAAGAGGCAGAAAGACAGAGAGAGAGAGAGAGAGAGAGAGAGAGAGAGAGAGGATCAGAAGCAGGCTCCAGGCTCTGAGCTGTCAGAACAGAGCCTGATGCGGGACTTGAACCCATGGACCATGAGATCATGACCTGGGCCGAAGTTGGACACTTAACCGACTGCGCCACCTAGGCGTCCCCAATTCCATCAACTTTTCAAGCAACTGGGGTAATCTTTACTGGAGGAAAAGTGGGCCCATTGCATGAGGCATGAGATGGTAACTGTGGCCTAGGTCTGGCCTCATGGTCTTTGGGGAAATTGACAGACAGACTCTCCTCCCGGCAGGGGCGCCGACACACAGCCCATGTTGGGGCATATGGACAACCCCGGGAGCCTCGCACAGCAGCTGTTACACCAATTTCCAAGTGCGGGGACCTGAGCGGCAACTGTAATGACATTTTCCTGGCTGGCTCTGACCTCTGAATCGCACTGATTTGTCTAACACACACTGTGAACACCAACCAGTTAGGACTCAAAGCCAAGACTCAAAAACCGCTTTAAAATGGCAGGAGATATTTAAGACATAATTTCTGTGAGTTGGTCATTAACTTGCTTCTATCCCAATCTGTACATCTTTTTTTTTTTTTTTTTTTTTTTTTTTTTTTTTTTTTTTTTTTTTTTTTTATAATCCTTTCCTCTCAATTATTTTTCCCTGCTTGGCTAATGTTTCTGTAGCAGTTACCTCTAATCATTAAGACACTTTTGTAGGCAATCCATGCTCCTGAGCTTGGAGAGCAGTCCGTATGGATAGGGGCATTAAAACAATATTCTTCTTACTCTACATTTTAGTGTCCCATCATTCTATTTCCATTCCCCTTGTTTAAATAAAAACACATTTTTTCCCCCAGAAAAGAGTGGTTAGGTTTGTACGTTCAGAGGGGTGATAGAAAATACCGTGTGTGATGACAATTTACGCTGTATCATTACAAGGTCACTCGAAGGCTCAAACGCCGTTAAGTGATGCTTTCAGATATCAACCCGGCTATGAGTCTTTGGTTCTATTTCCCGACTGCTGAGGCCTCCCCTCCTCTCAAGCCCTCATCCCAGCAGTCCAAGTTCCTTCTCCTTCCTCCAATGCCCCACAGCTCCTGTCTCTTCCTGACAGTTCCCACAGACACATCTTTAACATCAGTGCATGAGGCTGAGGTCTGGCACCCTTCACAAAGGCATAGATACCAGCCTGTTTTTGAAGTTGCCCGTACCCCCCATTCTGGAACTTCATCTTTTCCAGCAACAAACGTGTCTTAAGTATGTACAGTGTGTTCATGAAACCTGACTAGACCCTAAGGATGATCCAAAAGAAGTGAAACCAACCCAGAGTTTACAGGTACACCGAACTTGAAAACAAGCTCACCATGCTTTTGGAAATCTGTTGGCGTGCTTTTAACTTAATTGTTCTCAGGTGGTGGGGCGCCTGGGTGGCCCAGATGGTTAAGGGTCCAAGTCTTGATTTCCACGCAGGTCATGACCTCGTGGTTCCTGAGTTCGAGCCCCGCGTGGGGCTCTGCACGGACAGCACCGAGCCTGCTTGGGATCCTCTCGCTCCCTTCTCTCTCTCTCTCTCTGTCCCTCTCCCGCTCATCCACAGGCGTGCATGCTCTCGCTCTTTCAAAATAAATCAATAACCATAAAGAAATGTCCTCAGATGCTAAAACCCTTGCATCGTGATTCACGAGGATTTTCTGACCATTTTCCACGCGGCTCACCTCCCCCTGCAAACCTTTCGACCTCCTAGATTCTCTTCCTTAGCTTCCTGCCTCGCAGGTGTTCTCTAGCCTGATTTTTTTCTGCAGACGCTGCCCTTCTGCAGTCACCGGCACTTTCCTTTCCTTGCTAGCTTGGCGCTTGTCCTTTCTTCTCCTTCCCCTTTCCCGGCAAATGGCTCCCGTCTCGCGTCCGCGGAACGCACGCACCCCTTGCCCTCGCGGAAAAAAAAAGAAAAGTCTGGGCCCAGGTACCTGCTGCATGCCCTGCATGGTCTGTTGCAGGAACTGAAGCTGCTGGTCCTTGGTGACGTTGTCCTCCGTTCGGAAAAGCTGCTCTTTCTCCTGTTTCAGCAGCTCCACTTCGTTCCTGTAGGCGTCCAGCTGCCAGCGCAGACTGTCATTCTCCTCTTTCAGAGCATAGGCCTGAGCAGCCAGGGCTGGAAGGCAAACACACAGCACAAGTTCAGGTCCGTCACCTTCAGGTGACGGGGGCGGGGCTTAGACCGGGGTGGGGGCGGGGGGGCTCTCGCGGGATGGGGCGTCTCTCACCCAAATTCTTACCGTTCACACCAGCTCAGAAACAAACCCCAAATGCCTGGCCCCGGGGCTCTGTGATTCCCGGCTGGTGAGCATCACTTCTTTGGGAATTTTTATCGATTCCATTTGTCCTGTCTGATGGAGGCATGCTTCTTGTGGGCCCAGGAGTAACTCCTCCCCAGTGCTGGCCTCTCGGCCTCTCCCCCAGTCCGAGGCGCCCTCCCGCAAGCGGGAACGTGCTGCTAGGTGGGGACAGCACGGGGGCCACTTTCTTTCACCGAATCAGTCTTTCCACAGGTTGAGGCCTGCAGCCACATCCCAGGGGACAGAGGGATCGACACGGACGTCATTCCTCCCCGCACGGCCGCTGGGACAAATCGCACGGATTGCTCGCCCCCTCCTTATCAGGACGGTAGGCTGGCTCCGTATGTTTCACCAGCAGATTAAAACCCTGCTTCCCTGCAAGGCCGTGACCCTCCTTCCCGAAACCGAAAACTCTCCATGTGTGGATTCGGATCTTACGTCTCCATCCTACCGAGAAACCGAGACCGTTAACAGAAACGGCAGAGACTGAAAACAGAAGAGTGGGTGGCACAAAGCAACACCGATGGTTTCCAGCTTCCCTGCTGGGGTCTCTCCCCTGATACTAACCGCCGGCGGAGCACCCAGCACGTGAGAGACACCGGACCCGACGATTCGCACGGATTCATCACTTCATCCCGCCTCAGGCCTAGAATGTCGGTTAGGCTGCTCTTAATCCCGTTCTTTACAGAGGACAAAAACGAGGCACAGAGAAGCTAGAGAACTTGTCTCGCCCCACAAAGGAAGAAGTATCGTCAACAGTCTTCAAACCTAGTCCTCAAGTCGCTGGGCTTCTTGCCCGTCCAGATGCGTTTAGTTCTCATCAGACCGTTTGAAACCCCTCGTGACTTCTCTCCCCGCCCCCCCCTCCCACCAGTTGCCCACACTTTCTTCCCCCTCCCACAGAAAATGCATTCTCTACTCTTGTAAGCAAGAGAAAAGAGAAGGAGAGATTTCAAAACTTATCAGGAACTTCTTCAAAGAAGTGACTTCCGGTTTGTAAGGGCATGACGTGAGGCCTGTTGGCCAGCAGGTTCTCAGTACGGGCTCATTTCCACCCCCTCCCCCAACCAGTGCCAATCAGAGACCACTGGGGGTCAGCCTCCTGGATGTTCTACCTTCACATTACAGTATGCAGATAATAGATCTTTACAGACGTGCTCTGAGACCCCAGTGAATTCTCTCCTCAAATATCAAACCTCAAATTATGCTAATAATAGTTTTATAGTTGAGTGGTTTATAGTATTCTGCTTTGCAAAATGATTATGTATAGTACACATGGAAATACTAATCAAATAGAACATGCAATTAACCAGAAAATTCCCTACCTCAAACCATTAGGGATCAATTAGTCAACACGCAGTTACTGCATACATACTCTGTGCCCAGGCCTGCCTGGGCATCCTGGATCACAGAAGGAGGAGCCAGAATATGTCTTCTCTCAGGCAGCTTAGAAGATCAGAGAAACTGATACATTTGAAAAGAAACAAATACGTCCAAGGGAAGCGAGAACAGCCTGACGGCTGGCATATAGTAGGCATTTGATGAATGCTCGTTGAATGAACAAATAAATGAGCAACTTAGTGTCGAGGGAATTCATCCTGTTGGGGCTCAGAGAAGAGAAAGGAAGATGCGGACCAGAATGATAAAAGAGGGCCTGGAAGGCTCAAGAACTGGGGAAGGATGTCTGAGTCTGGACAGGGCAAGAGCATAAGCAAAAGTTCAGGGAAGAGAATTTAAGAGAGACCACTTGGGGCAGGAAGGTGGGAAGCTTGACCAAAAAGGCACATGTCGGTCTGGAGGCAGTGAGGGAAAGGCGGGCTGTGTCACAGGATGAGAGGGGATGGAACTCAGAAGTCAGGCTAGAGAGTGAGATTCGGTGGGGCAGCTGATGGAGAACCATGCCAGGTGCCCGGGCAGCGGAAGGACACAACGGAATTGGTGATTTAGTAAGATTAGTTTGGCACTGGTGCGTGCAATGAACTAGAGGCTGCAGGGAATGAATGAAGGAAATTTTATTTGGGGTCTACGTGTGCGCAAAACCAAGGAGCAGCCAATTTTACAGTTTCCGGGGACTTACTCATAAAATCGGAAACGACCCAGGGTGTAGCCAGAAGCATGAGCTAGTGTTTTCTAACATCACACTGCCCAACTCCAGATCTTGTCCACACCCCATGACACCAACTCCTGACAACTCAGTTTACCAATCCACAAGGAAATGGTTATGAGGCATCATTTGAGAGGGATGCTGTAATAGGGCAAAATTACAGAAAATGCAAATGATGAAAAAAATGTTGGCACCACATAAGCACATTACTACATTTAGTAGCATTCAAAGACACTTAAGTCATTTCCTTAGGAAGCTCTATTTGGCCCTTTTTCAATTTAGAGTGGCATTTTTATTATCATAACTGATAGCAGGTGTTTGTGAAGAAATCGATTAGTATGCAGGGATGGAAATTACATTTTCCAAATGAATTGCATAGTCTGCAAGATACGCTGAAATCTGTGTAGCAAAATGCAAGCAGTTATAAAGCATGTGCCAGCAACATTATTTAAATAAATTATCTGAACATAAATACATATAGGAGAGTGCACCATCCATTATTTCACGGGCTCTCTTAGAAGCCTGTGTAACGGTAGTGCTGACAGTTATTCTTGGCTGAGCCGAGTGGCCACTATTCTTGCCAAGGAAGAGACAATGCTGTTTGCATTTCTGGAATAGGAATGTGATATTATTATATACATATACATATATATATGTATATATATACGTATATATATGTATATGTAATATACATATATATGTATATATATATGTATATGTATATATATACGTATATGTATATATATACACGTATACATATATATGTATATGTATATATATATGTATATATGTATACGTGTATATATATACATATATAATTTTTTTTAAAAAGCAGCTGTAACTTTCCTCCCTCCACCCCAAATCAATACCATAGCCAATCCCATCAACGTTTTTATAACTGAGGCATATAACTAATTTACATTCCTGATTAAATGATTTCAAGCTTGATAGTTGCAAAAAAAAAAATGGTTACTCATGTGGCAGCCAAGTGGTTATTTCTACAGGGTGAGAAATTGTATATTGACTCCACTTAACTTCAGGCCACCTGTTTGTAAACATTGTTAAGTGTCATGGGCAGCCCTGAATGCACCCCTCACATGAGGCTTCTGGGAACATTATGTTCCTTGAGCCCGGAAAGAAACAAAGTCCTGATAATTCCTAGCGTAATATCATTTTTTCAGGATATTAAAAATTCAGAAACTTGACCAAGTTCCATTCTTTCATTGCTCTCTCTTTGTCTTTACTCTTTAGCTCTTTCCGGGACACTGTATTAAATGAAACAGTCTTGAAAAATGTGTAATCAAGCTTCCATGATAAAATTTACCCTTGAGAGACTGCATAACAGATTCACTGTTCAAATAAGCGTAAGGACTAAAAATAACCTGCAGTGTGTGTCTTTTTGTAAGATTCCCTGAGGAGTGTACTATGTTCCGATAAGTGGAATATTTAGCTAAGAGCCACCACCTGTGGATTACCCATTTGCAATAATTAACACGAAAAGAATACAATGAGCCTTCAAATGTAAACTACTCTTCTGAATCCAATGAAATCTTCCTTTGGTGATTCTAGTGGCACCTGAATCCAGTGGTGCCTCTGGATTATCAGTAATTCACTCACAACCAACCAGATTATTGAGAAGATGGGGCATCCAAAGGGGAAGGGCAGTGCAGTTGTTCCGACCCTAGAAAAATTGTTCCCGCGATTTTCTGATTGGATCAAAAATGAAACAGCAACAGAAGAAAAACTTTGCCAAGCAAGATTAAATTACATTTCAAAAATTAGCACTAGACTACTAAAATTACCAAAGTGACGTCAGTGTCGGAAAATTGATCCAAAGATTAAATTGTACCGCTGAAAAGGAGGTTTAAAGGGATTACAGCAGCTTGCTTTACCCTTTACGAGATTCCATACAAACCATTATCCTTTATATTAATTATGGCCAAAGTGACCTCTTCCTGTCTCCTGTATTACTTACTGTGTTTCCATGGGAACAGAGAGTGGCAGGCTTAACTTCTTTAAGTAAATAATCTGGGAAAAGCCTTGAAATCTCTCTCTTACCAGCCGGAGCCGGCCTCAGAAAAATAATTAGCCCTATATGAAGAATGTAAGTTATTTTGGGTTATGTCCCGGTAAGCTGACAGTATGTTAATATCTTTTTTCCTGCTCAGGCAAGATGTAACTAAATTAATAAAACACTTTAACATATTATTCCTAACAATATCTGGATGTCTCAAGAACTGTTCATCTTTGTGTCTTTGGGGAACTCCGCGTTTAACATTCTCCCTCCGCTCTGCCAGATGCAGACGTGGAATGCCAGGAGAGGGCTGCTGAACTGTGTGTTTCTTTCCCCCACACAAGAAGCCCTTCTCAAGGATTCATCAGCTGCTGCCCAGACGGGCGGCTGTGCTGACAGAGTCAGAACACGGGATGATAATGGAGAGGTCCAAGGCCCGGAAGACACCCCCACGATATCGGTCACCTTCCAGCCCCCCTGGGCTAGTGACTTAGCTACTGGCCAGGCCCCATCTGCCTCTCCCCAAGCCTCTCCTTGCAGGCTGCCTGGCTGGGGTGTGGGGGGGGGTAGGGGGGTTGCCCTTCTGTGGCAGAGACAGCATGCGGTGCACCCAAACTCATGCTTTTCTTTGCTCAGTGCAGCGTTGCTCCTGACAGGTGACTGTCCCAGAGGCTGGTGCTCACCAGCGGGACATGAGG